AGCCGACTCCGTCTCCTGCTGACTTTGATTACATACGCTTCAGTGTTGGAGATGCCCATGTGGAACCGAAGGTGACCTCCAGCAAGAGGCATCATCGGCAGCAGCCAGCGAGGCAGTGGCCCTCAGTGGAACAGCGTTCAGTGAGGAACTGAATCCCATCAAGAAGAAGTTTGGTGAGCGTGGAAGCAGATGATTCCCGTTGAGCGTTTGGATGAGGCCCCGGCCGGCACCTTGATTGCAGCCTCATGAGACCATGAAGAAAAGGACCCAGGTGAGCTGCACCCACATTCCTGACTCAGAGAATTATAATAGCTATACGTTGTTGTGATCTGCTACGTTTGGGGGTGATTTGTTACCCCTCGTGTGGGCCTTTTCTTATTCCCTGGTCTGCCCTCTCAGCCGTCCCTCTGAAACCTGCATTATTTCTTTTATATCCCTCCCTCCTCCCTCCTCTCTCTCCTGCCACAGTTCCCGCTGGTCGAGTACGGAAACTGCTGGGTGGAATCTTCATTTCTTTTTTTAAATCACTCCTAGTTCCCATTTCTGCCCTTTTTATTCTGCTTTCTGGGAGATTTTTCACTATTTTATCTTCCACCCCCACTATTGGATTTTTGGTGTTGGTCATATTTTTTCTCTTTTCCATTAAAGAATGCGGTATGATAGACTTTATACACAGTGCTTGTCATTTTTACCATTTCTAAGTGTACAACAGGGGGCACTAAATGCATTCACAGCGCTGTGTGACCATCACCACTATCTATACCCAATTTTTCATCCTCAAAAAAAAACTCCCTGCTCTTTAAAAATTAACTCCCTGGTCCCCCTTCCCCAGCCCATGGTGACCTCCGTTCCACCGTCTGTCTCTGTGGATTTGCCTCTTGTGAGGACCCCAGCTACGTGGCATCAGGCAGTATTCGTCCCTCTCTGTCTGGCCTTCTGCAGCATAGCTTCTGAATGACGGAATTAGCTGAGAAGGCCGGCATTGCTAGATCACCTGGCAGCCCCACTGACCCCAAGGGCAGGGTCCCCCGCCCCCCTGCGGCCTGTGAGCCTGGGGCAGCCCAGCCCAGCCCAGCCCCAGCCCCAGCCCTGGGCCCTGCCTTTGAGCTGATTGGAACTGATGGGGCTCCAGGCAGTTCCGGAAGTCCCTCCTTGGTGGACTGCAGGGCCCCCCGCTGTTTGAAGATGAGTTCAGGGGCCCTCTGGCCCTGAACAACTGAGAGCACCCTCCGGGCTGTGAGCGTGACCACTGCGGACTGGGGACAAGGGCGCCGGTTGGATTTGGCTTGTGCGTGCAAACGCCTGTGGGCAGCTCCTCCCTTCCCGAGGGACCCAGGCCCACCTTCATCTTTCCTGTCCCTCTGTGGTTCTCTCCCCACCCTGCCCCCGCGCAGACCAAGTGCTGAACTGCAAGGCTGGTGGGGAGCCTCTGGGCAAGAGCCATTTAGTTTACCTCTCTTTTAACATTTGGGCAAAATAAGCCTCCTCAACAACGCCACCTTCTCCCTGCAGGTGGTCTCCTTGTGTAGTGCCCCCCCAACTCCCCCTACCCCCCTCCAGTTTTGCTTTCTGAGTTTTCAGTGCTTCCTGGCCGACCATTGTCTGAAAATATTAAAACTCTAACCCCCAGGATGATGGCATTGAGAGATGAGGTAGCGGGGGCAATTAGGTCGCAAGCGAGGGTGGAGCCCTCGTGGGTGGGATGATCTCCCTGGCAGAAGGGACCCCAGAGCACTTCCTCGCCTCTTCTGCCACGTGAGGCCACCCGGAGAAAATGAGCATCTATTGACCAGGAAGTGGGCTCCCACCAGACATGGAACTTGCCGATGCCTTGACCTTGGACTTGCAGCCTCCAGAACTGTTGAGAAGTAACTTTCTGCTACTTATAAGCCACCCGGTCTATGGTATTCGGTTACAGCAGCCTGAACAGGCTAAGACGACCTGTTTTCAATCCTTTTGGGCATATGCCTAGGAGTGAGTTGCAAAGGAGGGTATAAAACTGCTCTGATTCCGGGAGTGAGGAGGGCGGTGAAGTTTTCTCAGGTATGTGAAGTTTCAACTCTCTCTCCTTATCGGGAGTCAGAGAAGCTGGCAGAGTTTGGGGGTGATGGCAGATTCAGGGTGTGTCAGGTGCGAGGGAGGGCGGTGGGAAGTGGGAGGAGGCCACCCCCTTCCCCGTGTGTTCCAGGGAAGAGCCGTCGCCGAGCAGGTTGTGGCCTTTTGGTCCCAGCCCTTGGACTGTTTGCCTACAGACTGTGAGGAAGGACCTGAGCGCTGTCTCGGTCGTGGCTTCTCATCTCCTGTTGTTGTGATGGCCTCCCCCCTGCCCCCCCTCTTCTAGAAGTTGTCACCAAACTGATGAAAACCCTAGTTTTTCTGATTGTGGATGTGAGATTTGTTCAGCATTAAAAAATGGAAAAAGGGAGTATGTGACATCTTGCACTTGCGCCTTGGCATATGTTGTCAGTTCAGCTCTAGTTAACGTGTATAAAAATTCTCAAAAAAAAAAAAAAAAGAGGAAAGTGGAGACCAGGAGGGGAAGCGCCGTCACACTCTGCCGCTCCGGCCCTCGCTGTTGCCGTATTGGGCGTTCAGTTCCAGGCAGTGAGCTCGCTCTGGGAGTCTACGAAGGCTCCTTCCCGGGCAGCGCTTCGTCCACGCCTCATGTGCCCTCCTCGCTGGCAAGAGCAGGCGGCTCTTCTTTTGCATGAAGGCAATTTACCACAAGCAAAGCAGATTCTCGGCCTACAGTCCCTTGTTCAAAATAGTGACAGCTTTGAGCCCCACAGGAAAATATTAAATATGTCCTTTTACAAGTTATAGAGTTCCTACTTTATTGTACACATAAAGGGTTAGCCAACCTCTTCTCAGCCCAACGGTAAGGTTTAGGCTTTGCAGGACAGATGGTCCCCAAAGAGCCAACTCTGCCGTTTGCAGCATGAAAGCAGTCACAGACACAGGTACACGAATGGATGTGGCTGTGTGCCAATAAAACTTTGTTTCCTCACACAGAGGAAACAGGCTGGGTTTGGCTTGAGGCCTGTAGTTTGTCAACCCTGCTTTATACTTTTGTCAGAATTTGTGCTAATTCTCAGCGCAGGCATGGTTGAGAAGCAGACACACAGAGCTGCCTTCTAGTCTTTTCTTCAGAAATTGGGTCGAGGTCAGTGAATGAAGCTGAGAAAGATGGCGTGGCCGAGGCAGGGGCCAGAGAATGGGTCTGACGCGCGATGGGCGTCCTCACGCGGGGCCAATTCTTACAGCCGGGGTCACTGGGCAACGGGACACATTTTAGGTTGCAGGAGAGCTGCTGGGCCCTGGTGGGGGAAGGCCAAGGGATGCAGTTCAGCACCCCTCGATGCACAGGACGAACCCCACTGCAAAGAATGGTCTGCTCCAAAAACCCACAGCGCGAGGCTGAGACACCGTGACTTAAACACGAACACGACAACCGAGAAAGCCTGCTTGCCCGCATTCCGCTGTACGGACTTCTTAATGAAAACGTAATAGACGCAGATGAGAAAGTATTTGACCAAAATGTTAAAAGGAATGCAAAATGCAACAATAACAAGCAAGCATCCTGCTGACCGCAGGGTCCCCAGGCCCCTCCCCCTGCAGACATTTTTAGCTTTCCAGGTTTTTATACATTTTAACACAAATCGTTCTGTACCCTACACATTTTGACCTATTTTCATTTTTAAAAATCATGGCAATCTTTCCACATGATTCACGTTCACGATGCTGAGTTGCTCCTTAAATAGTTTTAAGTTCAGTCCCAGCACGATAGTGTATCTCACACGCCATCTGCTCATTCCGCACCACCCCGGGGCCCCTGCGTAGCTGAGGCATGCGGGGCGCCACTGCGCCCTCTACAGGGATGAGGCAAAGGGCTGAGTGCAGTGGGGGAGGACCCTTGCGGGCCCCTGAACACTCAAGGGCCCCCAAACACATCCACTCTTTTCACCTGTTTAGGGAAATTTTAAAAGATGTAAGGCGGTGATTATAAGAACTGGCACTAATCACTAATCTGGCTAATTAAGATGACTGACAAAAGGACCGAGGTCCCTGGGGTGTCCCCTTCTACAGACCCAAAGCTTTTTGCACACAAATGGGTGGGGGAAGGAACTGGTCAGGGAGTGAATTTCCTGAAGCTCTAATTCAGGAGCTCCATGGGAATCCCCAGCGGGGGCTTCAGTGGACGTGGTAACTCGGAAATGAACGGGTTGGTCATGAGGATGGAACCTGGATGGTTTAGCCCCCCTGATGGGAAGGGTCTGTGTCTCCTTGACCTGCATGGTTTAAGGGAACAGCTACTATGTCCAGCTAGGGACAGCTTCCCCGGCCTGCATCTGTGAACGTCAGCCCTGCTGACACAGCGCCCAGGAGGCCCTGGTCAGGAGTGTGAGGGCCCGCAGGATCGCGGCGCAAGTGCGCCCGTTTGAACAGCCTTCAGAGGCGGTGCACCTTTCCTCCCAGAATGCATGCTGGGCACAGATCCGGCACCTCAGGGGGTGCATTCCCCTCCCCGGGGTCGGGGTCGTAATGCGAAAGGCACGGCTGCGGGAACCAGGGGGGCTGCTGGGGTCCCGGCAGACAGGAGCTGACGGGCCGGCCGCGCAGATTCTCTGCAGCCTAACCCAGTGTGGAGCGTGGACTGCAGCGACGGCAAAAGCCCGCAGGTGCCTCCCGGTGGCCCCCACAGGGACCTCGGCTGAAGGAGAATTTCCATTTGAGGACCAACTCCTAACTTGCTGTTGGGTATTATACAAAACAGCCCTGCGACTGAAGGGCAGGAATCATCCAGAAAGTGAAATGCTGATAAGGTCTCAGGCCCTGAGGCTCAGAGCCAGCTGTTCAAGGAATGTGAGACAACACGAGCCTTCTGCTCCCCCCATACATAGAAACCAAAGCTCAATTCCAAACAGTTTTATTTCTTAAATATCAAATGAGATTATCAGACAAAAATAGCTATACTGCTTAAGTGACTAAAGTGCTTGAGTTTCCAGAATGTCACATCCATGCTACTTTGGCACAGATGTGCCCAGGACAAGTGGCACAGAACGTACTTTCTTCCCGACAGTTTGTAGGAAAGTTCCCACTTGGGCTGGGGACACAGCCTGCATGTGGATTCACGGTGCACATGGCTTGTCAGCCCCTGAGAGGAGCGGACTGCTGGCCTCCCCCGGAGTTTCCGCCCGGGGGCCCCCCTCACTGAAATACCACTGGCGGGGGGCCACAGGGCCCTGGGCCTCTTCCCAGGCCTCCTGGTTGATTAAGGCTGCCTCTTTGCTCACCCCAGCGGAGAGTTCCAGCACCTGGGCAAAGCTCCTGTGGGAAGAACAAGAGGGTGATGCATTTCTGCCCTGTGTGTCCCAGAGCCAGACGAAGCCAAAGTGCCCCTGCCTTCTCCACGCTGGCAGCGCAGTGGCAGCGGGCTCAGGCTGAGTCCTCCCAAGTACTTGGGGGGAAGGGCAGGTCAACGAGCTCTGTCTGAACAGAACTCCAACAAGGAGGCCACTAAGAATAGGACCAGGCAGGCATGAAAGAAAAGCCTCAATTGTTCAAGAAATATTTAGGGAGAATCAATGCCGTGTCAGGACGGTGAGAGAGCCATGAATGGACAGCATCCCAGCCCGCCCTCGAAGTAGATGGTGGCGGGGAAACAGGTACGAAAGGAGCATGCCTAACGACTCACACCCGTGACCCCGGCCACCTAGAACACTTTGGCGTGTCGTGACTTCACCCCGGGGCACATGTAGAAGGTAACTCCACAGTGGCGGCAGGTGTTTTCCATGAGTACCTTTCAAATAGTTTAGGCATCTCAGGAAGGATGTTTAGCATTGTAAAGAAGAAAACAAGATTCTTTTTGGAAGACGTGGAAGAAAAGCCCCATGGTTAGAAACGCCCCCAAGGGGTGCGGGAGAAGGAAGCTGGGGTGGCTTTTGCGGGCTGGCCATGGGCTGCGGTGGACCTGGGGCTGGTGTCACGAGGGCACACATTGGTGAAACCCATCCAGTTGTGCCACAACAATCCGTGCCTTTTCTGTATGTATTTAAACTTCAGTATGGAGTTCCAAAAAGATCGCCCCAAGCCCTCACCCGGGAAAACATTTGAAACAGCAACAGACTGACCCCAGGGCCTCTGAAGGGGGCGAACGAGGGCTGACGCTGTCACACTCCTTTCTATTCGGGCTGCTGGAGAACTCCCTCGGGCTGCCCGCTGGGCTGCAGGCTTTCCACCCACCCCCCGCCCCGCCTTGCGGAACCCCTGAACGGGGCAAACGCCAGAGCTGCCCGCTCTCTGCACGGCACAGCCATCAACGGCCCACCTCTGCCTGACAGGCGCTACTTCTTTTTTTCTTATCTACAAAAAACCCACTTTATTTTAATAATTTATATTCCCCTTTCTCCTTATCTTTTTGTTAAAATATTTTCTGAAATACCTTCGAAGCTCCAGATCCTTCTTTTGGGTCATTTCCTTGAGTTCACCCAGCAGATCTAGCACTTTCTCGTTTTCTTCTGAACTGCAGATCCCAAGTTCTCCCAGCAGATGGCGCGTGGTGGTCAATTCCAGCTGCAGGTCGTCTGGGGGTGAGGGGAGGGGCCATCAGCCACAGGCCTCAGGGAGCCCCAAGCAACCCACGCACGAGCTGGGCGGCTGAGTAGATATTCCCTGTTTCGCTGGGACGCTCTCATGTTATGAAGCGCTCAAAGGCACAAAGCCATGAAGGAAGATACACCCATGCACTGGTACCACCTCTGTGCCCCTCTGTCTGAGATCACTGTGGCCTAAGACCATGGGTCAGGTATGTCCGCCATCTCGGAAGTCATCATAACAGCCCTGGAATGCCACTCCAGTGGCCCCAACAGAAACAAATGCAAAAGGTGGAGAAAGCCTGAGGTGCAAGTAATTTAAAAAGAATCCCATGGTTGCCCTGACTGGCGGGGCTCGGTCAGTTGGACGTCATCCCTCAAAGCACAAGGTCCGGTGTTCGATTCTCAGTCAGGGCACATGCCCAGGTTGTAGGCCTGTCCCCAGGTGGGGCGCTGAGAGAGGCAACAGATTGATGTTTATCTCACTCTCCCTCCCTTCCCCACTCTCTAAAAATAAACAATGTCTTTAAAAAATAAAAAGAATCCCGTGGTTCTCTTCATTCCAGTATCTCTGCATCTCCCGACCCAGTAGAGTGCTGCCTACGACTGCGCTGTCCCACCTGCTCTGGAAAACCAGCATCTCTCCACTCCCGGCACGTGTCCCGTCTACCAGCTACACGTGTACACACTTCACAAGCAAACACTGTAACATTTGGGGAACCTTATATGGTTTCTTACAAACACACATCCTCCTTCCCCCTGATGTGGTCTGAATCGCGTCCTCCTAAAAAGACATGTTCAGGTCCTAATCACAATCATCTGTGACTAGGACCTTACTGGAAATGAGGTCTTTATAGATGTAGCTGAGTTAGAATGAGGTCATAGGGTGGGGCCTATTCCAGTAACTGGTGTCCCTCTAAGGAGAGCGAAGTTTAGATACTGAGCCACTCAAGGGAAAAGGCCATGCGTAGAGGAAGGCCAAGCCTGGAGCGATGCCCCAGAAGCGGCGGAGGGCCACCGCTGGCTGCCAGCACCAGGGGCCTGGGCAGAAGCCTGGGACCGGCTCTCCCTCAGAGCCTGATTTTGGGCTCTGGCTCCTTGAACATGGAGGGAGTGAGTTTCTGTTGTTCTAGGCTATCCACTTAGTGGTACTTTGTTACAGCAAACTCATACACTCCCTTCCTAATCCCCCCTCCTGGCAGTTGTCTGAGGAACTGCTCCAGATGGGGTCCAAGAGTTACAGAGGTGCCACTGGCCGCAGTAACTATACAACTGGAGACCCAGACACAGGTACTCGTTCAACACGGCTCACTTTCCAGGACTCTGTGTCAGACATACACTATTTCGCATTGGAAAAAGCTTGATTTTAAGTTAATCAGTTGTTGCTCATGGCTGGGGGCGGGGCATGGGAAGTGACACTTGATAGATACTGAGTTTCTTTCTGACTCGAACAAAACAAAACATTGCCTAAACAAAACAAAAATGGCCTAAAGTTAGATTGTAATAATAGCTGCACATCCCTATGAATATACTAAAAAACAATGAATTGTACTTTAAGTGGGCAAATTGTATAGTATCTGAATTACATATCAATAAAACTATTAAAAATTTTTTTACGCCTCTGTCTGAGACCACTAATACAGCAACACCCTTTTTGATTTTGAACTGTGTTTGTACAAAGCTCTGGAGGTAAAGTCCACCTGATTTTAGGTAGCAATGTTTTACTACATCAGCCTCAAGCAAAACATACTTAGAGGTTCAGGAGAGCTCTGCTTAGAAATAACCAAACTCTAGGGAGCTGAAAACTTGCTTTGGGAAGATAGTTATTCTGAGGAAATTTTAAGATCAAGCACAGCACTTTGCGCACTTGCTGTTTCTCCAGGGAGGCATCCGCTGGGAGCCCTCTGCAGCAAGGCCCCGGCCCTGTGCTGGCACAGGACAGGGAGCGGGTCTGCGGCCCGGCGCGGCCCAGCCAGTGCGGCACCACTGCAGAGCTCCCCGCCAAGGCCAGGGGCCTGCGGGCTGCTCCCCAGGAATGCCTTTCAGCGGGGTGGGAAATCAGTGGGGAAGCCAGACCTGGGCTCCAATCCCAGCATGGTCCTTACTTGGGGTGCCGCCATGGACAAACCACAGTCCTGCCAGCACCCTGCGTCCTCTGCCATTTGAAGGGGGATGGGCCACCTACTTAACAGGCGGTGTGTGAGGATGACACGAAGGGATAAAGGTGCCAGCAGGCAGGAAGTGCCAGCACCGCACCCACTGGCCGTTCCTCTGCTCCTTGCCTGGCAGGCGCCCCGTTCCCTACCTAAGAACTGCTGCTTGTCTCCGTCCAGGTGAAGCGATCTCACAGGCAGCTCGTGCCTCGTGGTGTCCAGGGCCGTCGCGAATGTCTTGTACTGCTCCTTAAAGCGTTCGGCCACAGCCTCGTAGGGGCGCAGCATCTCAATCTGCAGGCGGGAGGGAAAGGGGCCTGTGAGACAGACCCTGCGGTCGCCGCCCCGTAAGTTTCACAGTGGTGCACGTGAGGTTAAGGCACACGCGGTTCCTTGGGCGCCTCCTAGGGAATCCTCCAGAGGTGCGGTGGGTGCGGTGGGCTCTGCCCTCACTCCTGGCTGCCCTCCTCGCCATGGACAAGCATCCACCCTCCGGCACATTCCAGGGACAGTCCTCACCTGGGATCAGTGGACCCAGGAAGGCTGAGCCCTCCTGCTTTTGAGCACCAAGCTGAAACGCCTGCCCCACCTCAAGGCCGTCCCCGCCAGCCCCCTTTCCCTCATACACGTTGTCTGGGTCCTCACGAGGCATTATAAGGATTCATTACCTGTCATTTTTTTTTCCTTCCACACCACGAGGACAGGGACCCTGTTCTCAGCCACGGCCTGGCCACATGCAGGAACACATGCACACACTGAGCGTTAAGGCTGAACTGTGTCCCTCTAACCTCGTAATTCCTCTGTTGATGTCCAAACCACCAGCACCAGAGAATGTGGCCGGATTTGGAGACAGGGTCTTTACAGAGGGAACTGAGTCAGGGCGAGGTCACTGGAGTGGGCCCTGACCAACATGCCTGATGTCCTTAGAGAAGTGGGAGAGTTGGAGACAAACATGCACCCGGGGAGAACACCAAGGGAAGAGACATGGGGAGGAGACAGCCATCGACGAGCCAAGCAGAGAGACCTAGGACCACTATTTTCTCACAGCCCCCGGACGGAGCCAACTCTGCCTATGCCTTGATCTTGGACTTCTGGCCTCTGCAGCCAAGAAGGAATAAGTGTCAGCTGTTCAAGCCGCCCAGCCTGTGGGACTTTGTTACGGCAGCCGATATACAGCGTGAGAAGCTACATCCTATGATTAGCTCTTCTGGGTTCCAACACTGTGCCTCCCACTGGCCCCCCGGGCAGGCCTGAAGCATGTCTCCATGTCACTGAGCACAAGCTGTGGATGACTGAAGAACATATACATGTATATGCGGGAGAGTCAGGTCCCTCTTGCTGGCTCGTACTTAATATTACAGGCTTATCCTCTCAAAAACTGTCACCCAGTGGTGTCAAAGCTGAGCACAGACTTAGAGCCAAGCAAGGAGCGACAACCACTATAAATGATCCTTCCAAACATCACCACATGACCCCGCCGGGACACGTGGCTCAGAGACCGTGGCCACAGCTGACCTGAGCATCGAGGACGTCCGCCAGCTCCCTCTTCCTCTGGCAGAGGAGAAGCTTGCGCTTCAGCTCGTGGGCCTTTTTCTGGAGCTTCTCCTTCTCCTGGCACATCATTAACAAATCCCTTTCTGCCTTTTCTTCAAATGCAGCGAGACTGTTCTCTATCTGTTAAGTTCAGAACGAGAGTTCAGGCTGGAGGGGACTCCCTCTCCCGGCTGACAGGGGCCTCCCTTCCACCCACGTCACACAGGAATGTGGTTCTGTTTTCACCTTTACAGCCAGCAGAGTCAAGAGTAACGTCTGGGATTCCATCATTTCCATCGATTCGGAGAGATCCTTAAGGGGAAGGCAAAGACACTTTGGGTTCCCCATGCACTGGTATAAATCCAGCTCTCTCCCGTGGGAGGGAAGGAACCCTAACCCATACATACTTTCTTCATTCAGTTCAGTAATTTGATAATTTGCTACTGATAACAGCCTGCTGTTTCTATTATTTTGGGCGCTCTGTGAGGAAGAAGATAGGCTGGCTCCCTTCCAGGGGCTGGGCGGTCAAGGGCCAGCTGGAGGGCTCCCGCCCACTCGATGCCACTCTAGAACCAGGACTCGAACCTCCCACCGCAGTGAGACCACAGCCCAGACACCCTCTCGCTGAGCACAGGGTCTGGCCTGGCGCCTTCCCGAGCATCGCACCACAAACAAGGTCCCAGTCTCGTTTTTCACGAGCTCCCGAATTTGTATCTACTCCTATACATGCACTTGTAGATGCAAGCTCTACAAATGACCTCAGAATGTGTGTTGGTTTTTGTCCCAAAAGGCAGGTTCTCAGAGCCCCAGGCTTCACATGGCACCTGGCACAGGGCAGGAGCTAAATGAGATTCGTCCAACCCATCAGCAGCAGCTTCCTTCTCATTTCAGACACTTACCGGGTTCTTTTTCTGTGAGGTAGAAAGTGATGTCGACTCTGTTTTCTTTGACATCGTTTTTTCTAATTGCGGAGGCTTTCTGATCACACTTTTGTCTAAGGTCAAGGAAAGCATTTCTAAGGTGAGCTCGCTGGGACACACCGCAACTCCCAGCTGGGAAAATAAGGGGTGAAGCGAAGGATTTACCATTAATGGCCGAGAGATCCAGGTCCGGAGGGGCAGCGCCGTGCCCTTCCAGCAGCGTGGACTGCAGGTCACCTTTGCCGAGGACGCCACTGCTCTCTGTGGGCCAATGAGAATCCCTGGAAGTCAACAGTTACTACCATGCTCTTCCCTAAGCCGGGAAGTAGGCAACCTTTTTGGACAATACCACTTGCTTCCAAAACTAAGCTTCTTGCTAGGCGGAAGGCAGAAAAACCTTTGGAAATTCCCAGCCATCAACTTGAATATATTTTAAAGAAAAATTAGACAAGAAAGGCAGTCTTTATACCATAAAGATGCAAATAAGTCTTTCTACTTAGTTTAGTAAACTGCTATGTTCACAATATGAGTCTAATACATGCCATACACTTATTCTGTCCTTGGCTCTTTTCCCTTCTTTCTACAGAAGCTTCTGGACAGTTCATTTTCGCCAGTAGTTCCCTTCATCTTTTAGCCTCTATTTTTTTTTTCTTTTAAGATTTTATTAACTTATTTTTAAGAGGAGAAGGAAGGGAGAAAGAGGGGGAGAGAAACATCAATGTGTGGTTGCCTCTCAGCGTCCCCTACTGGGGACCTGGCCTGCAACCCAGGCATGTGCCCTGTCTGGGAATCGAACTGGCGACGCTTTGGTTTGCAGGCCGGCACTCAATCCACTGAGCCACACCAGGAAGGGCTAACGTCTATTTTAAAATGTGAAATTATGCCTCACACCATGTAAAATGAACACTGGTGTATTGCAGGCTTTAATTAAGTAAGAGCTCCAGAGGACTGCAAAATGAACAGATGGTATGTCAAATACACCATCATGTTAGGAACTAAAACAGAAAACAATCTCATGAACAACTATGCAGCTGAGAAAATGAGTATGTGGAAACAAGAAGAACAAAGTCACAATAATATGTAGGGAATGGTACCATTTGTGTCAGAACTTTTAAATAATTCTAGATAGACAAAAATCTATCAAGAGCAGCAGCCTCCTGGGTGAGGAGCTGGGAATCTGAGGTGGTAGATGGTGATTTTTTTATTGCTATGGCTTTTACATGGGTTAAATGTTTTACCATCTGCAAGTGTAGTGTTTCTGTTAAGAAATGCAATTTCCTGTTCCTGGCTGGGTAGCTCAGTTGGTTGAACACCATCCCGATATGCCAAGGTTGTAGGTTCAATCCCCAGTGAGGGCACACACGAGAATCAACCAATGAATGCATAAATAAGTGGAACAACAAATTGAAGTTTCTCTCTCCCCCACCCTCCTTCCCTTCTTCTCTCTCAAAAACCAATACATTTAAAAAAAAATGTAATTTCCTATAAAGCCAGATGATGGAACTCAAAAGGCAGTCCCCAAATCATGGTTATGCCTGAATTCTGGTTTCTTAGCCTTGGCACTACTGACATCTGGGGCTGGATCATTCTTTGTTGTGAGCTATCCTGTGCGCTATGCGGTGCTGGACAGCACCCCTGGCTTCCACCCATTACATGTAAGTAGAATACCTTTGTCCTCATTCAGGACAACCAAAAATGTCTCCAGACATTGTCCAGTGTCCCCTGAGGGTTAGAATGACCCCCAGGTAAGAACCCTGATTTTAAAATGTGGCAGGCCGTTTTTGACCCCTCGGGCCATGCCAGTTTTCTCAGCTTTATACATGGTACTTAACTAACTGCATTAGAAAACACTAGAATGTTGTGTCTGCTTCTCAATTATGCCTGGGTCAAGGAACAGCCCAAATTCTGACAAACAGCTAAACCAGTATCAGCATAATTACAGCTTGCAGGCCACACCCAGTCTACTTCCTGTGTCTGTTAATAAAGTTTTATTGGGACACAAACATGCTCATTTGTATATGCATGGTCTGTGGCTGCTGTCATGCTGCAATGATGGAGTTGAATCTTCGTGACAGAGAGTGTCTGTCCTGCAAAGCCTAATATATTTACCATCTGGCTCATAAAAGGTTTGCTGACCCTTGATCTGAACAATAAAGTAGGAAACCTAAGTTGTAGAACATATTTTATTTTTCACTGTGAGACTCAACGCTGTTGCCACTTTGAACAAAGAGGTGGGGGCCAAGAAACACTTCTGCTCATTGTCAACTGCTGTTATGCAAAAGAAGAGCTGCCCGATCTTGCTGTACAGGTGGGCACGTGAGGCACTAGATGAACTGCTACAGTGGCGCAGGGAGCGGGGTGTGCGGCGCTGCGTTTCCCGGATGAACTCACTGACCAGAACTGAACACCAAACCCGCTCACAGTGATGGTCTGAGTGGCAGATTGTGAGGGAGCTTCCCCCTCCTGGTCTACGTTTCTCATTCTTTCATAATGAACACATGCTACATCTATAATCAGGAAAACTGAAAGCTTTTCAGACCACTTTGGTGACAACTGTTAGAAGAAAGACATGGAGAGCCCATCACAAGGAAGACCCAGCCCAGGCAGCGAGAGGCGGGAGGACGAGGCCCCACGCCTCTTCTGGCCTTGATCTCGGATCTCTGGTGGGAAACAGTCGCACCACCAAGGAACTGTTGCCATGAGGAAGAGCCATGAGGACAACCTGGCTCTTCTCTGGGGCCACCCAGGGAGGAAGTGACGTCCCCCTGACCCCACCATCGCCTTTCAGCTCCCCCGCGTGCCCCAAATCTGTCCTGACACTGAAACACTTTGCCCAGCTCTTTCTTCTGATGTGTCCCAGACAGAGAAAAGGCACTGTGACCCCACATACTTGAACACATAACTCACCACCACGCTGCCCAGTTCCTGAGCTCCGCAGCCATCTTACACCCGCCCCCCATCGCTACACACCTTTGCTCTTCTGGAGTGGGTTGGCTTTCCTTCCACCTTCAGGCTTCTTCCCACTGGTCTTTAAAGCGCCTGCTGCTGGAGGCTGTTAGAGAACACATGACACTCAGGGGACATGACTTCAGAAAAAGGGGCTCCTTCACAGTCTGCAAGGTTGGCACCTGCTCGTACTTTGAGGTGAGGGGCAAACTTAAGGAGTTCTGGCATTTAATTGCATCTGTACAGGATACACGGATTCTGTCAAAAAGCATACCCTCATAGAACACAGAACATAGGAAACCACCCAAATGTTTCCCAGTATCTCTGACATGACCAATTACAGATTGCTTATTTTCTGTGTCCTTTTTAGCATTTACCAGTCTTATAGACAGACTATATATTATTTCGGTCATCAGAAAAAACGAAGTTTTTGAAGTTTTTGTACAGGCATTAATCTTCAAAACGTACAAAAAGGCAAGCAACTCATGGAGCTACCAAGCCATTATAATAAAGGAAGGAAGGAAGGAAGGAAGGAAGGAAGGAAGGAAGGAAGGAAGGAAGGAAGGAAGGAAGGAAGGGGGGGGAGGGAGGGAGGGAGGGAGGGAGGGAAAGCAAACCCTGAAAAGAGCAAAACTATTTCAAGCGCAGACACCACTCTATCATCCTTGTGCTGCGGGTCCCAGAATGAGAAACGAAAGGCAAACAGGTAGTAAAGGTAGTAAAGGAAGAAGTATAAGGCTCTTCTTTGAGAATTGATTCTTTATGTAGAAAATTCGAAAACATATTAAAAAATGCTACTAAAATTAGTAAGTTTAGCAAGGTTTCAAAATAAGAGGGTCAATGTTTTTCAAAATCAATTATGTTTCTAGTAATGAATAACTTTGGAAATTGAAAAGACAGTACCATGTATAGTAGAACAAAAACAAACAAACGAATGAATACTTAGGAATAAACCTAACTAAACCTGGGGAAGGTCTGTATACTGGAAATTACAGAACACTGTTGAAAGAAATCCAGAAAGACTAAATAAATGGAGAGGTACACCATATTCATGGATTTAAGGACTCTGTGTTTTTAAAGTGTTGTCCTTCCTAATCTAATGCATAGATTCGACACAATCAAAATCCCAGCTGGAGATCTGGTGGGAAATGGCAAAATTTACATGGAAAGGCAAAGGATCTAGAAGAGGTAAACAGTTTTGGAAAAGAACAAGTAGAATTCACATTACTTGATTTCAACACTTGCTACAAAGCTAAAAATAACCTCAGCAGCATGGAACTGGCCTAAGGATAGACAGTAGGACCACGGAAAAGAGCAGAGCCCAGAAATGACACACTTAGGTGGGCAATCAGTTTTTGACAGAGGGGATGAGACAATACAACGGGGAAAGGAAACACATTTCAACAAATTGTTCTGAAACAAGAAAATATCCATATACTTCAAAATGAACTTCAATTCCACCATTGCACCAAATATAAAAATTAATTAAAAAATGAGTCACAGACCTTAACGTAAAACCTAAAACTATAAAAGTCCTAAAAGAAAATATGGGAGAAAATCTTTGTGATCTTGGGTTATGCAAATATTTCTTAAGATAAGACACCAAAGGTATAATCCATAAAAGCATAAATTGATAAACTGGTCTTCATCAAAATCAAGAATTTCTGCTCCTCACAAGACACTTAAGAAAATGAAACCACAAAAGGCAAGCCACACAGCAGGAGAAAATATTTGCAAATCACTATTCGGGGTTGGTATCCAAGATATAAAAAGAGCTCTCAAAATTCCATAATGAGAAAATAAACAACCCAATTAAAAAATGAGCCACTCTGACAAGTGTGACTCAGTTGGTTGGATGTTGTCCTGCAAAGAAACTGAAAGATCACTGGTTAAATTCCCAGTCAGGGCACATGCCTGGGTTGAGGGTCCCGTCCCCAACTGAGGGTGCGCGAGAGGCAAACGATCAATGTTTCTCTCCTAATCGAAGTTTCTCTCCCTCCCTTCTCCTCTCTCTAAAAATTAATAAATAAAATCTTAAAAGAAAATAAAAAATGGGCCAAATTTGAATGGGCACATTACCACAAATATAAGAATGGACAATAAGAACATGAAAAGATGCTCAATATCGTAAGTTGTTATGGAAATGCAATTAAAACCACAATGAGGTACCACTTCACACCCACTAGAATGGCTTCCCTCTTAAAGAGTACTGACTGGGACGCCCTGTGGCTGGTGGGAATGTAAAAAGGTGCTGTCACTTTAAATAACAGTTGAGTGGTTTCTTACAGGGTCACACACACGCTTACACTATCACCCAGTAATTTCCTTCCTGGGAGACTGGGAGAAATGATAACATGACCACACAGAATCCTGCACAGGAATGTTGAAGGCGGCTTTATTCAAAATCGTTAAATATGGGAAACAAACCAAGTGTCCACTGGATGAGCGCCCTGTGGTCCACCCACACAGGGGGATGCTCCTCAGCCATCAGCGGGCAACAACGCTAACCGCGAGGGCAGTGACAGGGAGGGGCCTCCAGTGCATTCTTCACGTGGAAGAGGGCGGACATAGGCGGCTGTGTGACACTTTTTAAAGATTTTACTTGTTTATTTTTAGAGAGGGAGAGACATATTGATGTGTGAGAGATGTATCTATTCCTTGCCTCTCACAGGCTGCCAACTGGGGACCTGGCCTGCAACCCAGGCACCTGCCCTGACTCGGAATCAAAATGGTGACCTTTCGGTTCACAGGCTGGCACTCAATCCACTGAGCCAGGGCTTATGTGACACTTTTTAAATGACCTTTTGGGAAAGGCAAAGCTATAGGGACAGAAAACAGTTGCCTGGGGAAGGGAGGGGCCAGCTCCATCAGAGCAACACCCGGGGATTCTGGAAGGTGACCGACCCTTCTGCACCTTGATTGCGGGGAGTCCGTGACTCGATGCGTTTGTCAAAACTTGCACAACTGGACGCTGCAAAGAGTGTCTTTTACTTTAGGTACAGTATACAGCAGATCCTCCACTAATACTGCTTTGCTATACAGTTGATAAGATGCCACAGGAACTTTACTCGTGTACAGCAGTCAGCCTCTGGTGAAACTGGTTTCATTACACATCGCTTCACCGCAGCTCCAAGAACCTACTGACAACGTTAAGCAAGGACTTCGCCTTAATTTCAAAGATGCAAAAAAAGAAAACAGGGAAGCTCTTAAAGATCTAAAATACTACATACGGCATGTAGACACACGGGGGCGCTGTAACCAAGTGTGCAAGGCAACATTAAAATGATGAAGTGTGGACTGTGATCCTTTGTTGAAAATCACTTCGATACTGTAAAACACGGATTCGGGGTGATGAAGTGACCGTGTAGGTTCATCAATTATAAATATAAATCACTTGGCACAGGGTGTTGAAAGTTGGGGAGGCTACACATGTATGGGGGAAGGGTACATGGGAAATCTCTATGCCTTCCGCTCAATACTGCTGTGAATCTAAAATTGCTCTAAAAAAATAAAGTCTATTTTTTAAAAAATCACTCCAAGAAGTGTGTCAAACAGTTTGTGTAAAGCTATCCTTTTTCTTCAGGCTGATGTTAAGTCAAAATTTTAAGAACCCACCATTTACTCTATCCTGGGTAAAAAAGATAGGCAGTGGAAATGATGACTTATCTAAGTTTTACCATAAACAACGATTTGGAAACTAGAGGGATAACACGATCCTCACCTCAACACCTTCTCAGTACATATATGCAGAAACAAAACGTGTAACTGGCTAACATACTGTTCTCATTAAACCGCACAAAGTATATTCTCGTGTTGCTAAGTGCTTTGTGTCACCATTTTCAATGACTTCATAATTTTCATGGTGTGACCACAGGCAGTTCGCGTCCTCTGTTGCTGGGTGACCCAGGCCCATCCCTCTCCCCACAGTCGTGCTCTAAAACCCTGCAGGTATTTTTTATTTTTTAAAAAGATTTTATTTACTTATTTTTAGAGAGGGGAAGGGAGGGAGAGAGAGGGAGAGAAACATCAATTGGTTGCCCCTCTGAGTAGGGATAGAACCCACAACCCAGGCATGTGCCCTGACCAGGAATCAAACCGGGAATCAAACCCAGATTCCAACTGGCGACCTTTTACTTGGCAGGACAGCGCCCAACCAACTAAGCCACACGCCAGACAGAGTCCTGCAGGGATTTTTTTTAAACACCAGCCGAGGCCAGGGACTGAGAGCTGGGCACTCACCAGAACCGCTGCCAGAACCAAATTCAGAACATGAATGATGGGGTTGAAAGGCAGAACAATTTTAGGTTTCAACAGATATCATGGCTTTGCAAAAGGGACCCTCAAAGCGACTGGCCACTCACAGCAGAGGCTCAGGACTCAGCACGAAGGGCACAGTGACCTCCAAGGCAACTGGGCAAAAACCCGAAAACACTGCCTTCGGAAGCCAGCTGTGCCTGGTTCGAACAACTTGTGTCAGAATGCTAAGTTCATCAGAACTCCCTTCAGAACGGTTTCAAACGTTATGTTACCTTTTTGGTGGTTTTCTTCTCATACTGCAGGTATCGGGACTCAACCACTTTTCCACCTGTGGGGGACACACTGCTGGTTTATAACTAAACAACAACAATGGTGTGTGAAGACCCGCCACGTGCTGAGGACCCACACCACCTCCCCCCGGCGCTGGGCGCCACTGGCCATCCCTGACCAACGGCAGGAGTGGGAAGCTGCTCCCCCTTGCCCCTCTCAGATCCTGGCCTTCAGTCCCCTTGAGTATGTGTGGGACACCTACTGTGGGCAAAACCATGGGTGAGACACCTACTGCATACAAGTCCCTGGGCTTGGGGCAGAGCCACAGAGATGCACAGGAGCAGAGGGGGGACCCAGGGTGGGCAGGGGAAGGGAGACAAGACAGACCTTCCACAGAGGGCCATCTGTGTGCTGTCTCCTCCCCTCACCGACTCCGACCCACTCACGGCACCGCCTTTAACATACAGCGCGCCGCCCCCCCCGCGCGCCGCCCCGGCTCAGGGACGCTCCCCACCCCACACCTGCTCAGCCCCAAGGCCCTTCTCAGACACAGCATCCCCCCCGTGACCGCCCAGCCCCAGGTCCCCTTCCACGCCTGCACCGGGGGCACAGAACATGGATAGAGGAAACGTCCTCCCAACCTCCAGGGGCTCTCGCAACAGCCCCTGTGATCGCCCCCACCCCCTCTCCGGGACCCTCCCTCACACCTTCTCCTCCGGGCTCATCCACCCCTCTGGTCAGCTGGGGACCGTCTCCGGCTTCACTGGGAAGCCAGGGGCGTTCCCAGGAGACCCTCCTTCTCCCAACCCCAGAGCAGCACGCTGGCCCCAGCACGTGGAGGGACCCCTGCTCCTGGGGGAAGAGAACGCCCACTCTTGTGAGAGCCCAGCCCCCACCCCACAGGAAAGGCCCTGGCAACTCCTCCCCTCCCCACCCCCAAACCGCCCCTGCTTCTCTAGGGCTCATCCCACTTCTCTGCTGCCCCTTCCTGCTTCTCCTCCTCTCCTCCCTCTTCCCTTGAATCCCCCATCCCTGGCGCTCACACCCACCACTGCACAGAAGCAACTCATTTCAGCAAAACCACGAAGACCTCCCTATTCCCAAGCCCATCAGCCATTCTCAGTCCTCGTCCCAAGCCACTAGCTCGCTTGCGTGCCCCCTCCTCTTGAAACATCCTGTGCCCTCCGGGCCGGCTGCCGCTCTGGTGGCTGAGGACAGGCTGCCTTGCAGGTCCACCAGCTGGTGAAGCCTGAGTCCCTCCAGGAACCTTACAGGCTCAGCACAAGAAGGGCGTCCCTCTGACCCAGTCACCTCCTCACCTCCCCCAACTCCATGACTACCCCGCACTGTTCTCCCACCGGCGGGCTGCTTCTGCGCCTGTCCCCTTCCCAGCTCTGCGCTGCCAGCACCTCCCTTGGACCCAGAAGCTACCCTCATGCTGCTGTTTTATCCAAGCGTCTGTCACCATCCTCTGCCCCCTGGGTCTCATTGTACAGCCCGTGTCCCAGGCAGCCAGCTCCCCGAGGGCAGAGACTTGTGTCTGTTTGGCTTGCTGCTCCATTCCACCACTCTGCAGGGAGCAGGTGCTCAGCCATGCATCAAGTGCATGATTCTGCCCTGTTTCTAGGTGTCTCTGCAGCTCAGGGTCTTCATTTTTATTAAGGAGACTCAGGGAGAGTGACATAGTCAACATCACACAGCTCAACAAGACAGGTTTCAGCCCTCTCTTCACCCCGGCATTTGCACACCCACAGTTAACAGGGAGCCTGGTGCCGGTGATGGAGGCAGCGGTTGCCCCGAGCACGCGTCAGGCCCGGGAGAGCCATGCATGCAGGGCAAGTGGGCTCAGACCATCAGGGAGCGGGGTACCTAGGGTCAAGGCCAGGACCAGGCAGAGTCCGGGCAAGAGAATCAAGCCACCCCAAGGGTCTGCCACTGGACATGAGGGATCGAGGCAAAGGACACCCCTCATTCCAAATGGGGCATGACCATCCTACGTTGAGTCTTTCTAATACCATCAGCAAAGGGTGTGGCGCATCTGGGAAGAATCTGAGGCCCTGTGCTCCTTGGACAGTTGAAAACTAGCACATGCCTGTTTGTTTTCAGCGGTGGTGGGTTTCACACAGCAGCAATGTTACAGTGAAGGATATAATTTGTGTTCGAGAACCAGACCTCATGTAAATAGATGTTAAACACAATCCTCCTCTAAGCTCTCTGAGACATGAACTACCACACAGCGCACTTTAAGAAAACACTTCATTTCAGAGGCTTGAGCTCCAACATGAGAGATCCTCGGGTGTCAACTGGGGACTGTCCAGAGTCCATGGAGGCTGTTCACAGTGATCCCAAACCCTCAGGAGGACACGGGGACACCCCCAAGGAATTGACATTCTTTCAGAGAGGAGGCTTAGGAAACTTTGATGTTTGATAATGAATTCAACTCACATTCTCTTCACTTATGCTAAAAGTGACAAGTCCTGGGCTCAGCCTGAAATGACCCCCACCGAGCTCTGCCACAACCCTGGCTGCAGGAGAGGCTGGCTGACCAGACCAGAAATCTCCCAACACATGACCAGAAGGGAAGATAAAGCCATAGCTCACCTGCTGTGCTCTGGTTTTTTCCCTCGCCCAAAAGGACTTACTGGCAAACAAAATCACTTTTTACTTCATGGGATCATGAGACAGATTCTACCTTGACTCACCGTGTGCTCTTCTTCCTTTCGGCTTAGTGCCACTAGGAGTACTGGGACCCCCCACGGGAGGCTTCCTAGAAAAGAGAGAGGGTCCTGTTAAAGTAATTGACAAGAAGCTGAGGGATCAAACCAGGCTTCTGATCCCTCTGAAGCTGGGCACCTCGACAGGAAGATGGACATGAAGCCCTGTCAACTGGGGTGACACACTGGAGCCCCACACCTACACCGAGAAGGGCCCACAGCAAGAAGAACCATCATTTTTGCCGAGACTCACAGATCTGAATGTAAGTCGTGGGTTCATTAACTCAGCAGGTGGTTATGTGCCTGCCATTTGCCGGGGATGCACAGTGAGAGAGATGGAGCTCCTTCCAGGAGACACATTTTCCCTTTGGGCAAGTGTGAAAGCACCCAAATAGGTACAGGGGTGGGGAGAGGCGAGCAATAAAGCACCTTTGGTTCAGGCATACGGGGAAGGACTTTCTAAGAAAGGGATCAGCAAGACCAAGGGCACAAGAGAAGCAGAGAAGCGTGACGTGGAAATGGGAATTGATCAGCCCTATGGCTTAGCTGGAGAACACGAGCAGGAGTCCACGAGCAGGGGGAGAGCGCGCAGGGCCAGGCTGGCCGTTCTGAATGCCCAACTTAAGGGCTCAGACCTGGTCCTACAGCTCAGGAGTTGGCAGCCTTTCCCTGTAAAGGCCAGACAGTATATATTTTCAGCTCTGGGCCATGTGCTCGCAGTCAAAACTACTCACCCTTGCCATCAGAGCACGAAGCAGTCATGGTTGATGCAGAAAGAAATGGGTGTGGCTATGTTCCAAGAAAGCTTTATTCATAGTGACATTTGAATTTCATATAATTCTCATGTGTCCAAAACCTTCTCCTTCTATTGATGTTTTTAACAACCATTTAAGAACGTACAAACCATTCTCAGTTCATCAGCCTTACAAAAAAGGGGGCACTCTGGCTTTTGCGCACAGGTCCTAGGAAACAAACGCTGTCAGAGCCGTGTTTCATGAAGACCACCAGCAGCCGGGCAGCAGACAGGCTCTAAGGTCCGAGGGCAGGGACCAGGGCTGCCCCTCACCATGACCCAGGGCCTGTGTATTCATCTGCTCAAGCTTCCATCATAAACTATGAGACTGGGAGGCTTAAAGAGCACGCATTTATTTCTTAGAGTTCTGGAGGCTGAAGGTCCAAGATCGAGGTTCAGAGAAGGTAAGTGGCCACTGGGAAAAGGAGAGGGAGAGGAGGAGGGAGACCTAGAACATGTAAGCAAGCTCTAGTGTTTCTTCTTATAAGGACACCAATCCTTTTGGATCAGGGCCCCACCTTGTTCACATCACTTAACCTTGATCGCTACCACAGACACTACATCTGCAAATATAACCACATCGGGGCTTAGGGTTTCAGCATGTGAATTCGGGAGCGTTGGGGTCACAAACATTCAGTCCACAACAGCCTAGCAGACAGGAGGCACTTGATAATATCTGTCATACAAATAACTTAGGAGAGCTCACTCGAGGACAATTTTGACCTCTAAGAAACATTTGGCAATATTTGAAGACATGAGTGATTGTCACAACAGACGGGGATGTTATTGGCATAACGGGTCGTGGACAGAGATGCTGCTCAATACCCTGTAATGCATAGTTCGGCCCCCATCACAGATCCAGGCCTAGACGCCTATGTTGTCATGGTTGAGAGCCCCTGGCATGATGAGTGGGTGATCAGGGGCATGAAACTGAAAACACAGAGAACTTGGAAGGCTGATGCAGAACTCTTACCGAAAATAACAAAGCATCACCCCACACCTGCTAGAATAGCTATTATGAAAAAAGACAAGAAATAACAAGCGTTGTACAGGATGTGGAGAAGTTGCAACCCTTGGTGGAATGTAAATTGGTGCAGCCACTGTAGAAAACAGTATGAAGGTTCTTCGAAAAACTAAAAATAGATCTACCATATGATCCAGCAATCCTACTTCTGGTTATTTATCCAAACGCAAATGAAAACACTAACTCAAAAAGATATCTGTACCCCCACATTCACTGCAGCATTATTTACAATAGCCAAGACATGGAAACAACCTAGGTGTCCATCAATGGATGAACAAATTAAAAGTACAATTTTACACATTTAAAGCATGATGCTGAGGTATGTCAAACTGAGAAAAACAAATACCGTGTGACCTCACTTATTTGTGGAATCTACAAAAAAAACCACAAAACACTGAACTCATAGATACAGAGAACAGAAGGGTGGTTACCAGAGGTGGGGGGAGCATGAAATGGGTGAAGGGGGTCCAAAGGTGCAAACTTCCAGTTATAAATTAGTGCCGGGGATATAATGTACAACATGGTGACTATAGGTAATTATAACGTATTGAATATTTGAAAGTTGCCAAGAAAGTAGATTTTAACAGTTCTCATCATAAGAAAAAAATTTTTGTATGGTGGCAGACGTTAACTGGACTTATTGTAATCATTTCACCATATACAGAAATATTAAGTCATTGTGCTATATACCTAAAACTAATGTAAAGTCTTAGGTCAATTATATCTCAATTAAAAAAAAAAAATGAAGCCTGAATATTATTTGGCCCTAAAAAGGAAAGAAGTACTGATGCATGCTAAAACCATGAACCTTGAAAACATGATGTTGAGTGAAAGAAGCCAGATACAAAAGGCTAAATATTGTATGATTCCATTTATATGAAATGTCCAGAGCGGGTAAATCCATAGAGACAGGAAGCTGACTCGTGGCGGCCAGGAGGAGACTGGGGTATATGGAGAATGGAGAGTGAGTGCTCATGGATACAGGGTTTCCTTCTGGGCTGAAGAAAATGTTCTAGAAGAGAGGCAGTGGCTGCACAACATTGTGAGCATCTTCATGCCATGGAATTGCTCACCTTACAATGGTTAATTTGATGTCCTCTGCATTTTGCCTGAATTTTAAAAAAGAAAGAATGAAGCCTGACATGATAGGTGAGGGGACAGTGAGGTTGGCATTGCTGACAAGTCAGCTGCGGGGTGTGGGAGGGTCTAGAATACCTGCCAGGTTTCTAGTCTGGGCTAACGGGAAGAGGAGGGGACGCCGGGCGGCGGCGACCAGCCACGCAGGCGGAGCAGGCTGAGGGGCCAGGCTCAGACCTGGGCACTTTGACTCCTGCTGATGTCACAGGCTCCACTAGTCACAGTAGTGGCAGTCGCCTTGCTCAGTTCACTGTAGCCACCTTCTGTGGAGCTTGCATGGAGGACCCCAAAGTGAGGCCCAAGCTGTGCAACCTGGGAGCCACATCTGACCTTACAAATACCTATCTGTTAGCCTTCTTTATCCCTGTTTTCCAGACAAGGACGGGAGACTTAAACAGGTCACCCTGAGTGAGTCTCAGTGCTGGAAAAGGACAGAGCAAGGATTCCCTGGGGTTTAAGTCAGAGCTCTGGAGCCAAACAAAATGAGCTCAGATCTAACCTGCAGGGGTTGGGGTTGCGGAGCACTACACCTGTGCCAGCCTCTGGTACCACCCATACTGTACCTCAAGAGAAGCTAACATAATCTCACAGGCCAAAGGGCTGCAGAGGAAACACAAGTGATGTCAGGGGCCTATTTAATTTTCATTCTCATTGGCGCAATAATTGGCCGAATGACCACGTAAGACAGAACACAGCCTTGCAATCACGTCTGGCACCGGGTGTTTCAACGTCTTTCTTGTTCTTGCTGTGTGACTCTGGGCAAATAACCTTCCCTCCCTGAGCCTCCATCACCTCATCTGTAAATGGGGAGCAAGTGAGAAGACGGGTGGTAAAATTAAAGGAGATATTTTAGTGGCCCAGCACTTGCCGACCACAAAATGATTATACTAACAGCGACAGATTACACTTCATGAGTCAAGCACGTCCTGTGAGCTTTGAGGGTCACAAGAGGCCTACATGCTGAGCGGCGACCGCCCAGCATGTCATCAGCCCGGTTTCGCAGTGGTGGAAGCGAGGCATGGAGTCATCTTCCCGAGCTGATTGAAGCAGCGGACAAGGGACTCGAACCCGCGAACCTCAAAGGTCTCATCCCCAGGGGCCTCCCACAGCCTGCACATCCTCGGTGGTTTCTAAAGAGGTGAGGTCCAGACTCACTCTTAGGGCCCCTTTTTCCCAGTTTTGCTGCTTCCAGCCGTCGGCCATGGCTCTCCGGCAGGCACCCACAAAAATCCAGCCCCGCGGAGTCTCAACTCACCCAAAGCCCCGACCCGAGGAATCCGCCATTTTCCCGCCTTCAACTCAAAGGCCGGCTCCTCAAGTTCCCTTGCCCTGGGCAGGGCCATTTGCGGAGCCACAGGAGGGGTGGCCCCGGACCTCAGTATGAGTAGTGCAGGCGGAGAGGACGATCCCAGTGCTCGCGTCTCTCGGTCCTCCCCTCACACTTGGTTTCGCCCACCAGTGCCGGAAGCCCTGGCTAGGGCCCCGTTGAGGGGCGGGGCTTCGTGGCGCTTCGGCCCCGTGGCGTTCTGCCGTCACGCCCAGGCCCGCCCCCGGAAGCTAGAGCGTGCGGGGGCGCGGCCGTCTGGGGGCGGGGTTTAGTGGGGGCTCCGCCCCGTGGCGCGCTGGCGTCACGCCCAGGCCCCGCCCCCAGGAACCCGGAAGGCGGGCGCAGAGGCGCGGCGGGCGCGGCGGGCGCGGCGGGGCGGAGCGGCCCGGCTGAGCGGCCCGGAGTTTGCTGGGCAGGCGGGCGGGTTGTCCGGGGACCCGGCCCGGGACCGGCGGCGCGCAGCAGCCGAGGCCCAGGTGAGTGCTTCCTACCGCGGGTGGGGGTTCGATCTCGAAGCTCGCTTCGGCGGGTTGCCGTGTAAGGGAATGGAGCTGAGGGGGTAAGGGAGGTGTATGAAGGCAGGGGTCGAGGGGGCGGGAACGAGCTTGGGGATCGTGGAGGGGTTGCAGGAGAGGGCGTGCAAGCGGGACGAAGCAGGAGAAAGTTGATGGGATAGGCCTTGTGAGGGAGCTTGTGGGCGGGAGGGGGGTAGGTCTTGCGGCTTTGAGCAGCTTCTCTGAAGAGGACGTGGCTAAGTGGTAGATGAGGGGTCGCAGGAAACGGGCCTGGGAGGGGCAGAGGCAAGGAGGCGGTGTTGAGAGGCCCTGGCCGGGGGAGAGGAGCAAGGCTGGTGGGGGCGGGACAGCGGGGTGCGATCGGGGGAAGGGGTGCAGACAGCCTGGGGGGCGTTTGCCCGCGGTTGGATCGTGGAGGAATGGTGCCTGAGGCAGGGCGGCGCCTGGGATTCAGTGAGTGTTCACAAATGCGAGAGATTCTGAACCGACTGGTGTGGTGGCCCGCTGTATTGGGGAGGGGAAAATGGGGGAGGGGGGGTGAGGAAGCCAAAAGAGGATAAAAGGCATGGCAAGAACCGAGGGACTGTCCGGGGAGGGCCTGAGGAGGAGGAGAAAGGAAAGAGAGACTATAGCGGACCCATTCAGATGTTGGGATGCAGCCCATGGAGATCGTGGGGGTCGGGGGGGGCATCCTTTCTTGATTCATCTTCCCGATTTTACCCCCAGCCCCTGGGTGACCCTGAATGATTCCCAGTGCCCTCTGGGTCGGGATTCCAGGATTCCGGACTTGAAAACCATACTACTCTCCTACTAGGACCTAGCTGTCTGGAGCCTGGGGGCCCCAGGAAGCAAGGAAGCAGGCTCTGGGTCCTCCTTGGGACCGGAACTGGGTTTCAGAGGGGAGGGAGTCCATGTGTACGCACCGGTGCGTGCTAGACTGTCACCACCTCCTCGAAGTTGCATCCTTGGACTTAAATGGGTAAAACGACTAACAGGAAATCTGTCCTCCAGCAGCTGTGAGCTCAGCCCCAGAGGCAGCCCTTGTGCTCTGCCTTCTCTTCTATGTGCCTGTAAGCCAGGAGTCTTTAAGGGAAAGCCTCTCCTGCACCCTTTGTCAGAGGTGGGGACATTGCACCTTCCACTTGGAGGATCCCAGCTCCTACCTTACTGAGTTAGGTTCTGGTCTAGGAGTCTCTAGGCTCTTAAGGCATCCAGGAACAGGGGGAGGTGACATGGGCAGCTGAAAGTTGTTTCACCATCTGATGGGCTTGGCATAGGGCAGTTTTGATCAACGTTAGCTTCTCTTCTTTCCCAACTGCAGGAGACCTTGTCTGGGACCTGCCAGAGGGCTGGAGAGCCTGGCTTTTTAGCTTGTATGGGAAATGAATCTGGATAACTTGACTGTAAAGAGGGCCACAGAGAGATAGCCACCCCCTTCATTTCCAGAATGTTCTGGGCCTTATGGGAAGTGGTTCCAGGGCACTCAATCAGAGCCCCCACTCATGCATTCTGCAGACATTGAGCATGGGCTTGCCCTGGACAGCCCCCGATAAACAGGACCAGAATCTTCTGGTTGCATGGCCTGGCTGTTTTCTCCCCGGGACACCAGGAGCGTGGACAGGTAGGCTCTCTTGGAGGGGTCCACGTTGGGGATTCTGACCTCCTTAAAGTCCCTTTGTCTCTTCACCTACAAAATGAATGGATTGGCCTCAATCAACATTTTTCAACTTTGAAACCCAACCCCTCTTGATAATCTTGGTGACTCCAGCACACAGCCCTCTTGGATTTTATGCAGCTCCCTAGCTGGTGGTCCTCTCCCTGCTGCAGTGATCCCAGTTTGGTTTAGCTTTCCATTCTACAACTTATAATCAAAAATGATTTTTTTAAATTGCACTTTTGTGTTCCGAATGGAAAGTTGTGATGCATAACATGCTGTGCACATCACACCTGTTCCCAAAGCTCTAGCTCCATCCTGTGGTTGGAAATCTCTGGGTGAGACCCTCCCTCAGGTTCAGGCCTATGACTGAAAGACACACGTGGGACGTGGGAATCTCCCTGTTCTGTTTGGCTGTAGGGATGTGTTCTCTGTCCCCAACAGGGGCTTTTTAACTTGCTCTTTCCCTCTCATCTCCTCGAAGTTACGTGTCTTGGGTGGGCCTAGTGTTCAGTTTAGCAAGGGCTGATTGTGCTGCAGTCTGATTCCAGGGGACAGAGATGAGCCCTCCTGCCCTGGAGGAAGGACATTCTAGTAGACCACCACCACCCGCCCTAGTGTGCGCGCGCGCTCGCTCGCTCGCTCTCTCTCTCTCTCATGGAAATAATGGAGTTGAGTTGGTGGTCAGTTCAGCAACAGAGCCGGTGCAAGGGAGTGGTGGGAACAGAATGAGGAAGAACCAGTGCAAGCTTTAGGGCTTGGGGGTTCCTGCAAATTTCCTCAGAAAACATGGCTGGGCACCAGCCAAGCCTTGAAGGATATGGAAGTGTAAAACCAAGCCTGGAAGAGGGATTTGCACAAGCAGATCCTTCTGCGGCTCTACCCTTTATTGAGCACCTCCTGTGATGGACGCTTTTATACTCAACTCTTCTATTTTACTGACCAGTAGCAAGGAGGTCCTGGTTCCTATTTTCCCAGTATGGAAACTGAGGCTCAGGGAGATGATGACTTCAGAGATGGCTCCCAGGGTGCTCTAGAAACTTGAAAGATAACCTCAAATGGGTGAGGACCAAATCTCTAGAGCATAGTTACTCAACTGCAGCACTATTCACACTTGGGACTAGGTCATTCTTTGCCGGGAGGTTTGGGGGGGCAGGCTTTCCCATGTATTATACAATGTTGAGTAGCATCCCTGGCTTCCACCCACCAGATTGCCAATAGCACCCACCCCCCAAATTGTGACAACCAAAAATGTCACCAGACCTGGCTACATGTCCCTTGGGGGCAGAATCGCCACCACCAGTAAGAACCTCCACTCTGTAGTAAAACCCTGCCCACCATTGCCTCAGTTGGTCTTTGGTGTAAGTTGAGCTCCTTGTGAGCTGCTGCCAAAAGCAGGAGTGGGGAAAAGAGGCCAGCAACTGGAATCTGCCATCCGGTCCGTTCTTAATCTGGAGTCTCGATAAAAAAGAGGCACCACTGGGAACAGACCAAGGGGGAGCTGGACAACGTGCCTCGAGAACGGACAGCAGAGGAGGAACAGGAGATGAGTGGGGGCGGTCTGCGTTTGCCCAGACAGCCATGTCATTGTCTGTTTCTTCTTTGTCTTACCACTGACCTGGATTTCTGCAGGAACCGTCCTTGCTTTGGCACAAATTGTTGCTTTTCTTCTGAGATTAGAGGTATTCGATTCTCTTCTCAAAGCTACTTTGGAGGTGGCCCCGGATCAGTGTGGCCCTTAAAGCCACATTATCTTCTCCTGTTTGCCCCCTTGGCTCCAGATGCCAATTCATCTTCAAGGCAAAAAAAAAAAAAAAAAAAAGTTAGATTATCTAAGTTTTATGCCTCCTGCATGCTTCTCTCCTTGTTCCCTGACAGTGACTTTGCTGCTGTAACTCCATGGGAGGAAATGCACGTTCTGGGGCCTTCTGACCCTTTGTGAGCGCTGTCCCTCCTCCCCTCACTCCCCACCCACCAGCCCTTTGTGCATCCCCAAGTCCCCAACCAACTGTGCCAGGCAGCCCCTGCTCGGCCTCCCCACAGAGCAAGGCAGGCCCTTCTCTCTGCCCTCCTCTTGGATGGAGGGAGTCACAGAACAAAGGGCTCTGTCTGAGCACTGCCAGGCCCCTGAAGAGCCAGCCTGCTGCCGGCCACTACACAGAGCCCCGTCACTTCACCTCTCCAAGTTTTCATTTAGGCCCAGAAAGGTCCTTGGAGATTAGACATGTCTCAGAAACGCAGGGATGAGTTTGGGTTCTACTCATTTCCTCATCAACTCTTTCTGAGCCGGATCCTGATGATAAATAAAGTAGTGATTCAAGCATTTGGCCTGTGGATTAGTCGGAGTGATGAATAAGCTGACCTGGTCTGACTCATTCATTTATATGCCAGCGCTGCCCTGCTTCACAGGGCCGTGTGTGCAAGAACGGGCATTTCAGTGCTGTCGGCGGGGTGCCCGAGCTGCCGCTGGGGCCGCTGGAGAAAAGTGCGCCAGACCAGACGGCTTAACCAACAGAAATGGCCTCGCAGCTCTGGAGGCCAGAAGTCCAAGATCAGGGTGTCAGCGGGGTTGCGTTCTCCTGAGGCCTCCTCCTTGGCTTGTAGGTGGCTGTCCTTCTGTGCAGGTTCGGGTCCAGGTTTCCTCTTTTAAGGACACCAGTCCTGTTGGGTCATGGTCCACTCTGATCACTTTTTTTTTTTTTTTTTTTTTTTTAACGTAATCAACTCTTTAAAGGGTTTGTCTCCAAATACAGTCAAACTCTGAGATCTTGGGGGTTAGGACTTCAGCAGAATGAATTGAAGTGGGGTGGAGACACATAATTCAGCCCATAGCACAGGTAAGGGGCAAATTTTATTCTTATT